TCTCTCTCTCTCTATATATAAATGCTCCTAAGACTGCGCTGCTGCAGCAGGCTCCAAGAAATGCATCACTGGGCAACAAAAGACCAGGGAGACAGTTCTGGAATGAGCACATTTTCATGCTGCTTAGCTAAAAAGCTCTAAAGAGCAGAAAGGCCCTTTTCTTGTTTAGACCTTCAGAAGAAAAAATGCAGGAACAGAGCTATTGTGGGTTGGACTTTTCTCACTGTGGTGCATGAATATTCTGTATAATGTCCAAGGATTCTGTCCCTGCTTTCTCATCTTCAGAAAATTTTTTCCACAATCTTGAGCATATTTCAAACAAGATAGTTACAGGTTTCTTTTTTTTTTTTTTTACTGTAGGAATTTAAGTGTGACACAAAAGTCTTTAGATAGTAACAAATTTGATGGCAAAATTAATTGAACTGTGAAGTGATTCATTTAGACTCTGATCTTACAAATATGAGCTATGGTTAAGCATAAGAATCTACACAGATAGGATCGGGAACAGCCACAAGAAAGGTATCTTTTGACTTCATTAGGATTTTTTTTTGTGTGTGTGTGTGTAAGGAACAATTTAATGTTTCGCAGAATCTTACACAACAGTTGCAGGGGATGAAAAACTAGTGCAGTATTAAGGATACTTCACCTTCCAATTAAAGCAGGGCTAAAATGTGCAATTCCTTCTAATAATGAAAAAAAAAATTATGAACAGGTCTAGGTTAAGTCTGTTTAGACAGATCTCCTGTTATTGCTGCATGCTTTGTCTCAAAAGATGAGAATCTGTTAAGCTCACAGTTAATACTGTGAGAGATGAGAATCTGTTAAGCTCACTGTTTCCAAATTACCCAGACTGAATATTGAATCATCTATGCTCTGATTTGTGTTATTAATACAAAAGATACCAACTTTTTTCCTCTGATATCTGGCTTCTTTTGAGAAGGCTGATCAAACTGGCATGTTACAATAAAAGAAAGGATCTAAGTTGACTTACCTCCACTTTCAGAAGTGCGCAGCCTTTCAAGAACTCTTGAATATTACTGATGCAATCAGCTTCATTTTTAGGCTCCAGGCAATACTAAAGAAAGAAAATCCACTGATCTCATTGCATTGCCTGTACTGAGAAGGCCTGCATGAATATTGACATGTGCCTTTTATACTGAATTAGGGAAGCTTCTTCAGGGGGCGGGTGGGGGTGGCAGGCAAGCTGTTGAAGCAGGAAGAAAGCCACTGGAGGAAGTGATGCACACATAGAAACTGTCGGCATCTTGTTTTGAATGCCAGCATATGACAGTGCCCTAACTGACAGTGGGAAATTGATGACCTTTAACAACATGCTGCCCCGAACCACCGCAAGTAAGAAAAAGATAAGGAGCTAGCAAAATTGATTTCTGCATAATGAAAGGCTCCTTTTTTATGGGGTGGAGAACCTGTTGTGTAGTTGCTTTTTAAAAGCTTCTCTTCTGTGTTGCCAGTTCCTATCTCTCATTGGACTCCTTCCCTTTTTCTTCTCCTTCAGATTCTTACACACTTCTGGACTGTGAATACACGCCTTGTCAAACTCTAACAGGAGGCATTCACATGGCTTCAGTACCAATGGATTTGCTGGTCTTGGGACAGACCAAATGGCACAATACAAGTGTTATTTGCTTATTCCTGTTCCAATCTGCTTCTCCAGTGCATTTCCTGACTAACAAAGCATTTTGCAGTAAGAGTGCAAAATGAAAGACTGACTATATTTACAGTTGCAATTAATTATATTGATGTAAATACTGACACACTGCAAATCCTTCTATTTAAAATCAAGATATTCTGATCTCTGGTAGGCCAAGTATTTCCTGACGCTGACTGAACGTGGGTAAGCAAATCAACTGCAACCTTGCAGGTTTTTTTTCTGGATGTAGAAACAAAATCAAGGAACCAAAGCTACAATCATACTTGGCTCTCAATCAGAAACTTAAATGTAAAACACCTCTCTCTGAAGCTCCTTGCTCCTCTCACCAGAGTAGCTAGGCCTCAGAATGCCCAGTGCAGGGTTTCATTGAGCAGGGCTGTCTCAACACAGCAAAATACATCAGAAAGCATTACCTTTTCTGCAGATCCCGGAAGCAGCCGATTAATGAGTCTGCAAAGCACAGTTCCATCTTTCAGAGAGGTTTTCAGGAACCCCTCTGGATCATCCACTATTTTCTTAGGGGAATTTAGGACTCCTAGTGAAATAAGCCATGTTACAATCTGTTCTTCTGGATTCATGGCGGAGAGCTCTGCCGCCAGAGCTGTTCTCCTGTACAACAGCGTACTGGAACCCACATCCGTGATTACATCTTCCTGCTGCAGTTCAAGTGTGAAACTACCTTTTTTTTTTTTTTTTTTGGCTTAGTACAGAAACCAAATCTTAGGAACTTAAACTCTAAGGTACAAAACTGTTGTCAAAATAAAATCGTTTCTAACACTCAGCAGGAAACAGGGAAAGCAGATTGTTAACTACATCTTTGCAAAATTATTGAAAATGCAAGTATTTTGTATCAATAGTTATTACACCAAAATATCTCACATAGGGACTTCCTCCTTGTGGCAGCTAGCACCCTATCACCTAGTAAATTTAGTCTGAACTTAAGGTTATTGCCCAAAGAAATAAATTTCTTAATACTGTAAAGAACAATTTATTTCCAGTGTTAAAAGAGAATTCACAATGGTGATGTTTTGGAGGAATGAAGGACTAAATAGAGATTTTCAACCTTATGTGGCAAACCTAGTTGTTAAAATTGCCTTTTACAGTGGTTTTCTATTGTCTGATTTTTGAAAATAAATTCTGATCATGCACTTTACGCATGAATAATACCTCTCTTCAACTGATGTGTGGAAGTCCACATATAATCCAAAACAATTATTTAGGAGATGATAATCTCTTAAAACAATTATCTGGGTAACTTCAAAAAGGTCAGGAATTTAAGTCATCCAAAGCTGAGAATAAAATTCCCCACTATTTTACTTGTCTTATTAAGATGTCCCTTTCTAATACCACTGCAGGAACTACTGAAGGTAGCTTTCCACCCTGCCCGGGCAGTATTAACCATCACTACTTATCATAGCAAGTCAGAAAAGTCCAGTCATCTTTGTAACTGTCCTTTCACCAGAACAGATGGAAAATGAAGCAATTCTGTTGATGATGAAGCTGGAACATCATGGCTTGAAGAATCCAAGAGGAACAAAGTATCCTAGAGACCAGAATTTCTTGGTTAGTGTTCTGAGCCAATTCCTACCCTGTTACTTAAAGCAGCTTTCGAGAACCCAGTGTTACCAAACTAATGATTTAAAGGGTTGGGAAAAATGAGAGCAGCAGAATGATAAAATTGTACACAGTAAATGGGCATGGTTTTGCCTGTACTTTGCAAGTTTTATGACAGGTACTGAGACCTACCAATGGACCAATTTTAAGAGCCACCAGCAAAGGTTTAGACAAATTCTGACCTTTTTCAGGACTCTGGGATGAGTTCCAGGTCTCTGTAGTGTGGAAATATTCATAACACATGGCTGCAGGCACTGTGAATAAAGTGGGCTACAGCTCAATCACAGCTCACTGCACTTGGTGAGCAGTGTGCAAAATATTTCAAAATCATGACTAATTGGCAATTCAGTTGTTTTGGGATTTTTTCCAGTTGTCGTGAGCACTACTGCTTTGCAGAAGGAAATACATACAGTATCCATAATTTCGTAATTCCTTTTTCAAATCTGTAGGTAGCCAAGATAACTACTAACGCTCATTTATCAAAGGGGACACGCACTTGGGATGTAGAAGACACCTCAGCCACCGCATCAGAACACAGCAGTTTCTGATGTAAACAGAAGTACTTCCAACACTGGGAGAATCACACACCTGCTTCATTGAAGTCAGCGTTACAAACCTGAACACTGAAGTACTTCACCCACTCCCTCCTCTAAAGGAAACCTTTGGTATAGATGGGCAGGTTTAGTTTTATGATTATTTCACATGCAACTGCTGCAGCCAAAATACTAATGTCTGCAACTACAATTAAATGAAAATACTTCCCACATCTTGAACACTTATCAACAGCTTGAAAAATCTGCAGATATAGATATTCACAAAGTCCAAAAATGTATGGAGTTTTTGATTAGCCACTTCAATCCCAACCTCACATCCTTTAGAGTCCTTTCTAAACACATTCCAGATTGTTTACCCACTTCCACACCAAAATTAATTCTGTGGCAAACCCAAGGTATGAAGGTAGAGCCACTAAGGAAGGAACAGTGTCTGGTCTTTGAAAAGACTTCACCTTTGTCTATTTGCTGACAGCAACAAATCAAGTGAATCATCAATCATGTCTTGCAGAGTCAACTTAGTTAAAAATCTTATTTACAGCCTGATTTATACCACAGTGTTATTTTAGAAGGGGGTGAACTTTCCTTTACCCAATGACCAAGTGACTCTGGCAGCATACACATCAGAACAGCACAGCGACAGGAGCAAGGTAAGATGAGCAGTCACATACTCAGAAACCATTTTTGAGTGGTTCTTCTCAAAGTCACACATGCTTAAGTAATTCACTCTTTTTCTCCAGCAGAGGGAAAATACCACAAAGAACAGCACTGGAGTATTTGTCTGCTGCAGAATCTATTGATACATTTCAACTGATAGCTTTCAATGAAAAGTTTGGCTCTGTGCATGAGCTAATACTGTAGATCAGGGTACATTCTCATTAAGTAGGATTTTAGGCAGGAACTGATCATACAGTAGCTGCCATTTTGGCATTACACTTTAGGAAGAATTATCCAGTTCAGCCTGAAGAGCAGCGCTCAACACTAAGCTAATGCTGAAAAGCAGTACAGAATGCTACTCCTTCTTGCAGAAGAGATACTGAGATCGCTTTGTAACGATAGATAACCTTCCAAATGTAACACTAGCGATCTTGACCACCATCCAAGTGTGTCCAAGAAGAATATGTTTTTCTTTTAAATTAGACAATAAAACCTCAAACCCATAATTCTTGTTAACAGTAAATTTATTTGCCCTGGGAAATACTGCAATTCTACCAATCTGCTACACAGATTTACTCCTAGAATCTGCAGCCCCTAACTGAGATTTAAAGTGATATCCTCACCCCAAACAAAGTTTTAATTCTCTAGACAAGGTATGCATGCTTCTTCTTCAGCCACTCATTATGGACTGAGGGTTGTTTAAATGAGATCAGTTTATGTCTACCACAGAAGTCAGTATAAATTTTATTATCCATAATTCTTTATGAGTTTTCTACATGAAATACCAATGCCTGAGGATTCCTCTCACATACATTGGCCCATCAACATGTATGTAAGAGAAAAATGCATCAAAATCAAGACAAAGTTTTGAAGGAAGCACCAAGATGTCCAGTGTACATCGAGGAACACTAATTATTCTGGCCATTCATCACTAACATTGTCGCAGTACAGCAATACTCCCCTCCTCTCATCCAGAAGGTTGGGACAAAACTGTTAATGTAATATAGCAGAACTTTCCGTGGTTTCTTGGTGAAGTCCTCTGTATTCAAGCGGACTAAGACTTACTTCTGTGTAACTTGCTCTTTTTATCAGCATAAATGGCAAGCACATGTGTAAAAGGCAACCAAGTATTTCACTGCTGTAGGATGTGTGTGCAAGGAGCAATGAACCATCTCACTCTGGACTGCTGGAAGGTGCGAGCTATGGCAGACAGCAGTTGGCTTCCACCATAAATTTTATGTATGTCCAAGATATCGGTAGTGCTACTTTCAAAGGCAACTCCAGAATGCTTACACATTCCTCTAGAAAATGGTGGGCAACACTACATTCGAAAGCCAGGCTGTATCAGTTGTGATTTGTTATCCTTTGATTTTCCAATGCACATCCACTGCTGCGCTGCCACCTTCACCTTTCACTGTAACTGGAAAAAGGAAATGCAGGTTAGTACCCTCTCAGAAGCCAAGAGACAAAAATGCTAGATTATCTTTGAATTCATTTTATATATACAGTTAATACATTTGGATTGTATTCGATCTGTTCCAACAGTATGAAACCACATCAATAGCTAACTACAATAATCAAAATGCCCTGAGGACAACTTGTATTAATGCATACTGCTTGTATAAAACCGTCTCCAGGGCAGGTACTAAGTACCACAATTCCTGGGTGAATTCCCCCTTCGAATTCTACTCACCACAAAATTCCACCAGCTCTTGATAACCTCAGCATGCTACTCAGAAGTTCTGTAATACACTGGTATTAATCTGTAAGTAATAATGTGCTATAAATAAAATCAAACTTGTAATCAAGGGAAGGTATACGCCTGGCAATTCCATTTGCACCCTGATTTTCCACAAGGCTATTATTATTACCTTCCTTGCCACAAGATCTATTTACTGTCCCTTAACATTGGTACCATGCCTGCTAAGAATCTGGAAACATTTAGAAGCTGAAGACAAGGCTGATAAGAGTGTGCTTTTGTCTCTAATACCTGTATTTATTACAACATGGTCACAGCAGATTTACTAAACTGAAAAAAGCACCTTTTTTTTTTTTTTTTAAATAAAGGAAAGCTTTTTCACTTGTCAAGAATAATTAAGCTTCAGCTTTCCAGCTAACAGAGAGAACTGAGGTGCACACACAGGAAGTTTAAAACATTCTGACACAACCTGTATGATGATTTGTCAGTATCTTTTAAAGTCTCTTAGAATGCTGCATTTAAGACAGCATTTCATCTCTTCATTAGAGAATTTAAGACCTCCATCTGGGTCAAACTATAAATTTAAAAACTGACTCCTCGTGGTTTTTTGCAAGTGGTTGGGGAAATGAAAGGGGAAATGCTACTTTTAGACCTATTTCCCTAATCCACTTTAGTGGCACACTAGTGACATCAGTGATTTTTGAATGAAAAAGGTTCAGTTTTCTTAACCTTTAGAAACATCTATTGTGAAGTGTCCTTTCAGTAAGACTCTAATTTAAATATTTCAACACCCACATCTTAAAAGAAAAACAAAGACAAGGACAGCATTTGCTGGTTGAAATTTTATCAAGCATCAGAAAAATAAAAAGCTGGTAGGGCAGAAGCTTCTGTTTTGCTTAACTACACGCATCCCCTGAACAGAAAACACTTGTGATGATTCTGTATTTTATCTGAAACACATTCCAGTACCCTGAAATAAAGCATATTTTTCCTTTATTATCAGGGTAAGAGCAGCAATTTATCAGGAGTATTCATAAAACATTATTAGCATATTCTGACAAAGGCATTGCACATTTATTGAATTGCTGTTACTGACACTCTATAGGGAGAATGAATTGAAGCCCAACTGAGGCTACAAACATCATGCAGTATACAACAGAACCTATCCTTCCCACAAGATAGAATCTCCCTGGTAACAGTGACCAGCTAGCAGATAGACCAACTATACAAACTACAGCTTCTTCTTTTTTACCATTTTAAAGTTGGTTCTTGAAAGTAGAATTTGAAACTAGCAGCAAAAGAGGCTCTTACATTTACAGACTCAATAAAGAATTACATAAGGGAGTACACATGCTTCTTTACATAAATGCTTCTCTCAGAAAAGGTAGTTGTCCTTTTCCTTTGATCTGTACTAGATTAAATTCTGCACACGCTCTAAGTTACTTCCATTTTTTTACTAGCAACTATTTAGTAGAGAAATTTTATTTTCCAGAAAGCTAGATTAACATGACAGCCACTACCACCTTTTTTCTTCTGAGTTTTCAGAGAAATAGGAGCAAGTCACACTTTCACATAAAATCCAAAGACTACTGCTCTTCAATCTTCTTGAAAAATTATTTTAATTATTTTAATTTTAAAATTAATTAATTTTAATTAATATTAAAATAATAGGATTTAGAGCCAAGAAACACAGCTGTTCTACAGTCTCAAACCATTCTGCAGGCACCTGAAGTCTGCAGCTTAATCCCAGGACCTCTGCAGAGATCAATTCCTAATCCAAGATTATACTCACTTTAATTGTTAATCCTGCACATTTAACAAGACTGATTAAATGTAAATACTAACATTTATTATTACAACTCTGATTTTTATGATCTGCTCTTATAAAAATTCATGCTCAGCACTTTCTGCCACATGACTTGAAGTTCAGTTGTAAACATGTTTTTCTTTGGCCGTACCCAAATTGGCCCCGTTTTTGCAAACAAGTGGTGTCTTGCTGCCATTCCCAAACTGGCCGGTTTACAAAGCCTTCTCAAGCCTCTTCCTCCAAAACTTAACCAGAAGTCAAAACAACACTTAGCCATGAAGAACATCCATTCAAACCTACGAACACCAGGGAATGACCAGGGAACTTCCTTGCAGCTATTACACTGCTCTAATATTTACCTTACGTATTGGTACAGGCACCACTCACATCTGCAGTCAACAGATGAACCAGCACTATTTCAGTGGTATCTTCTAGAAGTTATCCCCCTGCAATTAAGAGAAGAGACAACAAATTGAGAAAAATATGTTTTACAGCACAAGCTAACCTACAGTAATTGCCCCCATTTCAAAAAAATGGCACAAGTTTCGTTTGCAGATTATTCAGTTGCAAGTTCTTACTACTTCTTTAAATGGTGGAGGATTCACTCACTGGCTTGGAATGAACTGAAATGGCTTAGAGAAAGGTTGCATGGCTTATGGATTCTCATTCCTTTTCAATGGTGCACTGCCATGTTAAATCCATAAGTTGAACGACAAAATTTACTGAGGACTAAACAGTAGTACAAAGGTTTTGGGTTTGTGGTTTGGTTTTTTAGTTGGAGGTCTTCATGTTTACTATATTCAAGAGTATCTTTTGAACTTCATGGCTTCACCCAAGTTATAACAACTTGCCACAGACTGTGCCACATGCATCCCTGGGTATCCCTGCAACGCAGTGTCAAACTAAACAGAGTTAGGCATCCAACTAAACATCAAGTCTGCATTTCTTGCTTCCAACTCCCAATAGTTGAGCTGATATGTCTCAACCTAAACCAATTCCTCACTTCACAAGGCTTAAATTTTGTTAATATGCTGCATATGCAGCCTTTTTAAGCATCTTCACTGAGAGATACTGGTCACAAAATACCCCCTCCCCACACTACATGGCAATACTGCGTCTACAGTGAGCTGCATTACAGCTTTCGTTTCAAAACTGGTGCCATAAATGCTTTTATCCAAGGATTGTTGAATTTGGAGAATTTCTAATGCATTGGGGAATTTATTTTCCTTTTTTTCTTTAATCTATACAGCACTTCCATTGCCATGACATGCAGCTTGTCTTACTGTACTAGAAGAAGGTAACTTGTTTCAATTTTGACTTAGACTGAAAAACTAGTTTGCTTTGCTTACCATCTTTGCTGTTTCACAGGCATTTGATGCTCTTAATCAGCTGTGGAATGCTGAAAGATTCACTTATTTTAGGAAGCCATAAGCCTTTCAGAAGTTGGAGAGAAAGACTTCTTTGCTTATCTTATTTTCTCCTTTGGAATCAAAGATGTTCCTTTAAAAGTGAAACACTACAGAGTTGCAAAAATTTGAAACAGTGTGAGTAAGCATCGATTTGCAGCTTCTTTGATGGAATTGGTCAATGGTTTGCGGATTGTTGTTTAACAGTATTTTGTAGCTGACTTACATGAACATGATTTTTTTGCAGGGGAGATCTTTTTAAACTCCCCATGAAACAGTAGGAAGGCAGAATATAGTATTATCCACTTGCTTTTTTGGCTTAAGTGAATGAAATCCTCTATTTTTCTTTACACAAGGATCTGAAGGCATTTTGTACTGGGAATACTGTGACTTCAAATTCTAGGCATAACTGAGCTTTATGTGGAATCATCCCCACCACCCTCCAAATCACAAGCAATACTTTCAGAATGAGATGCTGAACATGTAGAGCAATCCATCTCCATGTTAGATGGTTGGATGTTGTGCGGAAGATCTTAAGAACAGCTTGTTCCATTCATGACGAAAATCAGATGGAAGTGTGGCATTTCAGGGAAACTTTACTTTGAAAATTACAACACTAGTACACAGCTCAAGCTTATACATTTAACATCTGCTTTCTGAAAGAAATGTTAACAATTTTGAAATGATATTAAACATTGTTTCAACTGTTTCTCACAAAAGCATAAAAGTCATGGAGGGAAAAACTTAACAGGCAACAATAAAAAAAGGTTAAAAACAACTTTTCCTTTTAGTAGTCCTCTGGTAGTAAAGATAGAACAGCTTCCACATTTGAGAAATAATCTGTCTTGGTCCAAAAGTTTAAGAGTGTTTTTAGTATCTGCTTCTGCCTCCACCTCTATCGGATCTGCTTCCACCACGGCCACCACCTCTGGGCGCCCCGCGGCTTGAACTACTGTAAGAATCCCGAGGAGGTGGATAGCCCCTTTCCATGGATGGGGGAAGACCCCTGTCCTGTCTTCCAACACGATCACGGCCACTTGAGTAGACATCACTTCTGCTGCTTGAGTAACTTTCTCGGCTTCCATATCCATCTCGTGTGCTGCCGTAATCATCATAGCGACTGCTTCCACCATAAGATGGCGGGGGCCCTCGAGCAGGTGGAGCACTACGTGAGTTACCTGCAGGGTCAACGGTCAGGTCATATGGCAACACCGTAAGTTATATAGAACAATTTCAAATCTGAATTTACAGAATTGCTGTATTAAAATGTTTACTGCTACTCTTTTTATATGTATTGAGATGGTCTTAATATAATCTGCCACACTAATGGTATTTTTAAGTGGGGATTGCATATCAGGCAGTGAGTGGATTTAGAGATTTTGAAGGAATGAAGACGGTGTTTGTTTATTCAGGCAGGCTCTTTAACTGGGTATTCCAGTACAGCTTGTTATTTTAGAGAAGAAACTCAGCCATATTTTCCAGAGATAGCTGTCATTCTGAACTGTAGACTTTGCTTCTTTAGCTTACAGCTTATTACAAAGACGTTCAAATGTTAACCAACAACTGCACTTTCACTGTAGGGGAAAAAAATTGCGCCACTTCCCCCTAAAACACAAGCAACCTAGTCAAAGTCAGATGTTATGACATCTGTACGTTTATATGGTCCTCAAAATGGATTCTTACCGTAACTCTCATATGAATCTCTGTAGGAGCCTCCACTTGGATGATCCGAGTAGTCTCTGTCACGTCCACCACCGTATCCATCACGATCGCTATAGGAGGAAAGACTACTAAGACTTAGTACAAATCACTAACATTACAGCAAAAATAAAGTGACAGGGAGAAAACTCCAACAGTAGGTACCTATATCCCCTGGAGGGGTATTCATCACGTGAACTGGAATGACCATAATCACGATATGCGTAGTCTCGTGGAGGTGGTGCGTAGTCCCGGGTATCCCTGGAACTGGGATAATCTCTGCTTGAATAACTACAAAGAACAAAAACTGAGATGTTAGCCACATGTCCTACCACAGAAGGTCTGGAATCAAGATCCTTCTCCAAACAAAAACCACTTCACTAAAATAAAACAGTAGAAGAATTTACCCGTCTTTAGTGCTGTAGCCATCATCTCTTGGAGACATGTAGACATCTCTCCGTGATGGCATTGGCTCTCTGCGCGGAGGACCACCGTAACCATCTCTTCCACGTGACACAGGAGCTTCAAAGAAACAGTCCATTTAATTAGCATTTAGCCATGCAGAACATTCAAGGCAAGTGCTAGCAAATAGCTTAAAGCAATTTAATAATATCTCCAGAGCCTACATTTAGAGCACTTTACATTTCTGCAAGTACAGTTTGAAAGCAGCACTAGACAAAACATATCCAAATTGCACCAAATTGTTCCCAACAGCTACAAAATTATACTGGTCTGAAAGGAACCAAAGCTTAGAGAAACAGTACACCATCCCACAGCTGACTGAAGTTCGAATCAATGATTTGCACCAGTTCCTAAGGGAAGACTAAGGTTCTAGAGCTGACCAAGTCAGGAATTTAGTCAGGAAGTCCTTACCTCTTCCTCCCATGCTACTGCTACGCACTGGTCCTGAAGGTGCAGATCTTTTAGGTGGAGGGCCTCCACTTCGTGGAGGTGGACCCCTCTTCATGGGAAGTGGCCCTCGAGAAGACCCTAGAAGGAGAAGCCACGAACCAATTATTATTTCTGTGATACTCACCTGCATTTTCTTAAAGCCTGAACTACGACAACCTAAACGTGCCATTATTACCACTACATGATCAACAGTAAACCTCTAAAACTAGACCTCTCCTGTCTAAATCTCTAAAACTAGACCTTCTCCTGTTTTCTAGCCACTTTAAATGCTACTGGCAGAATTGAGAGCCAAACTTCCCACAGCCTAAATTCCTGTCAAGAACTGTCTTTTAGAACTTATCCAAAAGCTACAGGGTGTGACACAAAGGAAAAAAGACAGCTGATACCTGTAATCAGTCACAGCTTAAATGCTTAACAAGTTACTGTTCTCAGAAGAGCCACTTGGGAGGATGTACTAGAGAAGAGCCTACAGAGAGGAAACAGAGGTACTACTACCGAGTCTGCAGAACCTACTATTACAGACTCTTCAAGACAGAAGTTTCACTATTTCCAGGGGTTTTTTTCCAGCATTACAGCTTTTACTGTTACACCTCAGGTACTGTTTGCTAGTTAAGTGAGTTTTGTTTTGATACTGAAAAGTCTGAATAAATAGCTGTATCTTAATGAATATCCAGTATCAAGTAATGTACTTTAGAATGCTTCAACAACTTAACAAAAACGGTTTAGCTGCCCTCTCACTCTGATCTAGAAGGATCAGCCCTACAATTTTCTCAGTTTAGACCTCTTGCTATAAAGAATGAAAGGCAGTTCCCTTTCCCTGGCGGTAGCGAATCACTTTTTCAACTTGAATACCAGAAAGCTTCCTTTCTCACGTGCAAGGCAGGAGTTCTGCTTTTCTTTCATAGGCAAAAGTCAAGTGGAGTGTTAGTTGTAGAAAGGAATCTTCACATCTGAAAGCCTTTTCTTAAGGTGTACTTGCCTAATCAAAACTTTGACTAAACTGCCGAGATCGTATTTCATCATTTTAATAAAGAACAAGGAGTGCACTATTCAGGTGTTTGACTTTTTTTTTTTTTTTCCAGTAGGATTATTGTCATCTTCCAATGGGATTGTCTTGTGTTGTCGAAGTGTATAATGAGAGAGGTCAATACATACCCAAGTGACTCCCTCTTGAAGGTGGTCCTCTCGCGCCACTTCCGCCTCTTGCGCCTCTAAGGCCCCTGGGAGGACCTCTGCTTCGGGGAGGGGGCGGTGGCCCACGCCTACCACCACTTTCAAAGGATGGCTTGGTTGCTTGTTCCACTTTAATTGCCTTCCCATCTAATGACTAAAGAAGAAGCTGCTTTACTTACTGCTCAGTCATGTTTGTATTTCTTAAATCAAGCCCCTCTTGCTTCATTATTTATAGGGCTTCCATTTTATAAGTTAGAGCAATTCTAGAACTGATTTCAGTCTTCAGTATTAGTCCCCAAGTACTCAGCAGCATGTTGGGCCTAATTTCAATTTCTACAGTACTTCATTCTTGTGGTATTGATGGCAAAAAACCCACAGAGCAGCATCAGAAAGGACTTTCAGTGAAAACACAAGTGTCCAATGATTACGGCAGCCCCACGTCATTTATTCTGTAAATGAAACATGATATATGATCTACAATTTACTTTCAATTGCCATGTACTTTTGTACCAAACTAGGAGTGCACCTGTAGTTACAAGATTAAGCTGAAGGTAACTTAGCTTCAGTCGGAATTTCTGGCAATGGGGAGGCCGTTTAGCACATTTTCTTGACGTCCTGATAAAACGGTGATCGCTGAAGTATTTAGAAGCTATTTCAGCATCTACACAGCAGACTGAGTATGACAATTCACCCCTTTTTTCTAGTGTTTCAAGCTGGGTTTTCAATCAAGGTGACTGTCACAATTTACTCTATTACTTGCTTTTCCACAGGGAAGGTGCTTTGTGGTATTTTTGTTTGTGGGTTCTGTTGTGTGGTTGTGTTTTTTTTTGTGGTATGAAAAAAGTAGAAGCTTTTGCTGGAATACAGATCTGCAATACCAGGAACTCTGCAGCCAATATACCTCAAACATGAGCAGGTACTAACAAGCTGAGTAATTCAACCTAGTTAATCAAATTTCTGGATGATCTTTAGATGCCGCACGTTTGGCTATTATAGCGGAATCAAGACCACAAGCCCTGCTAAAATTAGGTTATTCCATGCCTATCCTGGCAAACATGGTTTATTTGCCTTTTTCAGCAGTTAAATATTTAACTCTGCCATGACAACTAATTAATTATCAGGCAGAAAGTGTTGTTCATTGCACTTCTTTGCTGCAATAAATGAACAAATGTAACTGCTAGACTGCTAGTAATGTCTTTATCTACACTGGTATTAGTATTTTATAGAAGCACTGAGTATTTTTTGTTCTCTGTCAAAATCTAGCTCTCTGAAAATTCACTGTAATGGTGGATGTATTTTGCCAGCTCAGAGTTGTAGTGATTGTTTAAAAAAACCTGAGCGTACATACACAGGTTCAACTTGATCCATTGTGAGGGACAAAAAGTAAGACATACCAGCAAAATCATATTGGTCTTGGCTTGACTTAATGAAATATTTTACTTATGGAAGGTTTCTCAAAAAGCCTTTTGGCATGACAAACTGAAATATCCACTCTAATGACTGGAACTTCTCAGTTTGCATCATATTGATTTGCCATTGTAATTAATCTCTAAGTTTCATCCTTCTGAAGCATGAAAGAGGGCGTGAAGCCTTAAGCTTTGCTATGGCCACTGCTGTCCTTCATTTCATGGAAGGTCTTGACAGCTTGTTGTAAGTTTAGAAAGCAAACACTGTCCCCTTCTGCTAGCATGGGTTCTGAAAACCTGGATGCTAGGTTTAAATTCTTTCATTTGTGTTAGGTAGGAGGTACAGTTTTCCTTGTAATTTCTCCTCCTGTTTTCTTCTGCCTTGCACTTAAGCATCTTACCTTGGCAAAAGATTGTTTCCTTCCAGACTGCTTTACAGAAGTAGTCTTAAAAAGCTATTCCATAGGTCCAGAAAGACCTTTCACTAGATACAAGAATGTATTTTTTGCTAACCAGAAAATATTTGTCAAAGTTAGTCCTATTTCAAAGCAGAGGGGACGTTTTATGATTTCTTAGCTCAAAGAAAGGTCTTACCTCACCAAACATAAAAGTCACACAACCCATCTCAGAATAAGGAAGTTTTTTCAATGAGCTCAAAGCACAAGCTGTCAACATGAACACTCATTAGCTTCTTTTTATAACCTCGATTCAGAGTGTTATAGAAGCATTTTTAATATGGTATGAGCACCAGAAAGTGAAGTCACCCTGGTGCTAAAAAGCATGAAAATAATTTAAGCTACAAGTAATTTAGGACAATAATAGTTTGGCAATCAAAGTCTCCTATGTGTGGAATGAATAATCTGTACATATTTGTAAAGTGAGACAGGGAATTTTAACCAAACACAATTAGAGAACTATCCTGCAAGCTGTTCCACATTTCAACAGAAAAGATGAATGAAATTTGTTTAATTTTGGGAGCGGGGCAAGAAATCAAGTATTTCAAAGAAACTGTCACAGTAACTTGCATGAAGCTGGTCCTAGCACCGCACAGGGCTTTCCTCTTCAATGGATCACTTCGCTGTTGATGCTGCAATGACTCCATTGCTCCATGTTCCTTGATGGCACATTAAGTGAGTTTCATTTTGCCATATATATCCAAGAAATGAAGATCCATTTCTCAAGAGGCCAAGCTTCTGTACATTGTATCACTTCTTCCCCAAAGAACAGGAAGCACTTTCTGTCAATGAGACAATCTTCTACAGTGCTGAGTACAGTTTACACTGGAGGGATTGTAGCATCTGCTTCCATCCTCTTAACACAGACCAGCTGGCCTGGCAGGTCTACACTGGAATAAAATCTTTGTTTTGTCCTGACCCTTTGCCTAAGGTCATATCCTCTCTTTAATTATCCATTTCATCTTAAGGATGTAGAATCAGAAGGTCATGAGAACAGCCCACTGCACCAAACAACCATTACAGACTGGAGAGTATCCACATTTATGTCCAGGTAAGCATGTGCATTTTGTGGCATCAGGATGTAGACTTGACAGCCATGAATTAAGATTCTTCTTAATTCTTCAGCTGGTAAGCTGCTATTAAGTAGTTCTACATTTCTTTTGCACTGCTCAGACATCATAGCATTGATTCAATCTAGAAGACAAAGTGACTGAAGTGAGAAATCTCCATCCCAACTCTAAAATAATTATCTTGTGATCTCTTTCTGCAGGACAAACTGATCTTCAACAAGCACGCTTTGACTAGTCTATGCTTGTCCCAGTATAGAGTGAAATATAGCTGTTCACATACAACCCCTCACCCAAACTGGTGCAAAACTCTGCATATATTTTCATAAACATTTGCAAAATAAAAATCAAATGCAAATTCATTCTTGCAGAATCTATTGGAGTCAGCCTCTTCTACTGGCTACAACTTCAAATTCCTTTGGGATGACAGAATGAGCAACAGACAGGCAGTGCAGAACTCTTCCCCCGGCCAGACAGATCACCTAACTCCTTACAGACTGCTTGAACTGCAGTCTGCACAGTGCTTCTGCTGCTGCTTCTCAGTGGCATTAAAATCTCAAGAATGCTCCAATCCATCTTTTCCAAATGGACAAAGAGACCTTCAAATTGTGATTTATGATAATTGCCTCTTCTCACACCAGGCTTTAAACACTGCTCTTCCCTCACACCTTGAATGCAGAGTCTTTTTGGAATACAAGCAGTACCTGTTGTCCAGAAGGCTTCCTGAAGATGAGCATGAGAGACCACCGCATGAATATCTTTCATATCCATGGTCAAAGCAAGTTGGACCAGAAGACATTCTAGAGCAAATCCCATCTGTGAATGTTCTTTTCATATACTATTTGCCGTTCCAATTTCAAAGCAGATGATGGTACTTCTAGATTTATAGTGAAGACAAACCCATGAGAACGATGATCCACAAGGCCGTCCTTTCTAGCATTTCTTGCCAAAAATGCAGATTGTGCATTCCAGAACAAGTAGACATAACCTCAGCCACAAACATTGCCTCATTTAGCTACTTTACCAAGCAGTATTCTCCCAAATATTTCCAATGTGACTAAACACAGGCCTCAACATTCAAGATGTAGAACAGTTGGTGATTATTTTCAGAGGGATTTTGATTTGCAAGCTGCACTCCACAAACACACGATTAGTGACCGAATTCCTTTCGGTCTGACAATTGCCTATTGGTCCTTGAAATTACCTTATGTGAGGATTCAATGACCATTTCAGAGAAAATAAATTATTTAAGCACGGCAGTAAACAAGTCTTCAGAACTGTGGCAAACTAGACAGTGGAGAAATAAAATTCAATAAAAGGAGCACCCTGACAGATGTTTAGGCTGGTATAGAAAGAACGTCATCTGAATTTGCCACTCTCTGCCTTGACAAAACTACTAGCTTGCTTAAAAGGGAAGGAAGTCTTCTAAGAGAATAACCCTAATTGTGACAAGATTGTCATGAAGCATCCAGAAACATCAGTCCATGGAGTAGAAAACCCACTATCCTTCTATAACACATACCCTGCTACAACACAAATAACAAGAGGTTTTACAAACCTTGTGTTCACGAACACTACACAAAGCTCACTTTCTTATTCCTAAAGTTGTTTTACTTACTGACTGCAATAACTGACATTTTTCTCTCACTTCAACTTCTTAAACTAACAAGACAAACATACCAAAATCCCAAGTGTCAATTAATCACAATCACTTGATGTTTCTTCACTTTACTTGAATGGCATCTCAAGAGACGCTGCTTACAAGGCCAGTGCAGTGTGACCTAAACACAACCATTCACACAACGCAGGAAAACAGAGTCTGCAATTCAAGAGACCTAAGATGGCTTTCACTGCCTGAAGAGACAGCACCTCCATAAAGATAAGCAATTGTTCACCAAAAAATTGCCAACTTACATCTACCTTTGCAAACACATGCCACAACAGATAGAGATTACAGCAGTCTACAATTCTCTGACAAACTATCCTGGTATTATCTTGGAACTTGTGCTGCAAACACCTATAGTTTTAGTTTTAAAAACATTACACGTCTTATTGCTCTTAAAGCTAGACCATTGCGTTTTAGGGCGTAAATGAACAAATTCGGTTGCCGGCTAACTGCAAAGCCAGTGCACATAAACTAGAAAGATGCCCCTCACACAGACCAAGCAGATCAATGATGCAAGTCACAAATGCAGGAGATTATACTCAGAATACCGGATAGCTCATCAGTGCTCCAGCATTCAAGGGAAATCACAGTTACCCATGCTAAAGAACAGTTACTAATTTTCAGGTAAGATACTTCCCTGAAGTGTAATTTACACAATCCTGCATTCAAATATCATCAAAAAGGAAAATTAACCCAAAAATCATTATTGAAACATGCAAGAATGAAGAGCTGATTCCTCCATCACCGATTAAGGAACAATAAGAAAAGAGAGCATAGCTGATTGCCAGCCAGACTTCCATTTTCTATTAGCAAATCCATGAACAGGAGAAACATGAAGACAGAGACATTTTGTCAAATTTAAAGTTACAACTTGTCTCCACGATCTTCTAATCCATTCTCTTTCCAACTTTTATTACCAGTTGATTTACCCCGAAGATTAATTGTCCTGGTCAGTAGCAACTGCAACATATAAACAGTCTTAATTCCTACCTTTCCATTCATATCTCTGGCAGCATCTTTTGCATCTGCTGGACTCTCAAACGTGACGAATGCAAATCCTCTGGACTTGTTTGTTTCCCGATCTTTCATCAAAAGGACTGCAGAAACAAAGTCACATCAGCCTTCCTGTAATTCCCTGTAAGGAACACTTAACCTTTATTTAACCTTTTAAGCTCAGAACTTCTTAGAGGACACGTAAGCACCATCATTTCAGATGATCAACGCCAAAAAGTCATCACAGCTATGCTGTTGTTTGTTTTATACTATTGCTATCTAAAGAAAAGTTGTCTTTACCTTCCACAATGCGTCCATATTTGCCGAATACAGCCTCAAGGGCTTTTTCATTAGTCTCTGTGTTCAGGCCCCCAATGAACAGCTTCCCAGGACGATCTGCTTCAACCATTTTGATTCTGTAAATGACCTACTAAAAAGAATGAGGCCGTTATTAACAAAACATCAGACTGCAATAGGGACTTCATGGTATATAAATTACTTCTGTCCTCAAACGTACAAGCAAATTATCTTTAGAAAGATACTAGGTAAGAAATATGAGGTATAAAAAAAAAAAATCAAGTAATTACAATTTTTTGCAGTGGAAGCAACTCGAAGTAGTATTAACAGTTATTTCTTCACATTATATAGTGTATTTAAAAGACATTAAATAGAACTTGGAATAGTGGAACAAGGCACTGTTAAAATGAAGCAATATTGGTGAATGTGAAAATTCTTCCAGAAATGCTGTTCCTTTTGTCCTGGACGTTTCAAGTAATTTGCTTAATATGTCAACGTAATACTCAACTGTTAACTCTTCAGAGCATCTTAGGTCAGTGTTTTTAAATTAAGTTCATTCTTTGTATTATTTAAAGTACATGAAGCCTATGCTAAAGTCCTGGCCTACACAACATGAGAGACTGAACTGACACCAGACCACCACTGCAGTTCTACACAGCAATGTCACACTTACAGTCGCGGGGGCGGGAGGGCTCAAAAAGAAAAAAGCCCAAGAGCCGAAGACAAAGCCAAACCCCCCGTGGCTGGCAGGCCGCCCGGCGCCTGCGGACAAGCGCTGCCCGCGTGTCTCCAGCGCGATGGCGGGAAGGCCCGCGCCAGCTCCGGCACACGCGGGAGCGCGGACAAAGCACCCCCGAGGGAGCCGCGGCGGGGCCGGGCCGGGCCGCACGGGGCGCGGGTTCAGCCGCGCTCCGGGCACGGTGATCACGGGGGGCGTCGGACCCTCCGCGGGCTCAGGCACCGCCACAAAATGGCGGCCACCTCTGGCAGCGGCTCCGCTCCGGCCCCGCGCCGGCGGCCTGCTCGGCACTCACCCACCGCGCGACTCAAGCCCGTCCGGACACATCGGCGCGGCGCGCCCGCCATGCTCCCTTCGTCCTCCCCCGGGATGCTCAAGAACCCCCGCACATAAAATGGCGGACACCGCGCCTCACACCGCCAGGACCCTCCTCGCCCCACCGCAACGGCGCGGGTCCCGCCGTCCTAACCGGAGCCGGGCAGGGAGGGATTGCGGGCCGGGCCCGGCTCCGCCGTGCCTCCGCTCTGCCGCGAGCGGCGCGCCACGCGGCCCCCACCCCGCGGACCTTTCGCCGCGGGTCTCCGCAGCGTCCTGCGGTGCCGCCCGCAGAGCCCTACCCGCAGCAGCGCTCACCTCCGCCCGCGCCGATCTGCAACTGCGCAATGGGGGCGAACAAAGGCGCTGCGGGCCTTTATAGCTTTACGTCACCCGCCGGACGGAGCCCCGGATGCGGCGGCACGGCAGCGCCGAGCCCGGTAGGGGGCGCCCGAGACACCCCCAAGGCCCGCGCGAGGCTCCCGCCGCGGCCGAGGGGCAACGGGGCCCGGATGGGACGGGGCCACGGGGGCGGAGAGTCTCGTCCCGCCAGGAGGGGGGAGCGGGCCGCGAGCGGCGGGAAAACAGCGGGAGCGGGCCGTGGGAAAGGAGGGGTAGAGCTTTGTTTGCCGCTGTGCCTCGTCCCGAAGGATTGAGGCCCCATGTGTAGTGCTGTGTCGTTCTGGACTCCTCAGCACGACAAAGGAGCTACTGGAGATAGTAATCATCACAATAATGATTAGATGTCTGGAGCGTCCCTCTTACGAGGAGAGACATGGAAGCTGGGGCTGTTCAGTCTAGAGAAGAGAAGAATGAGAGGGGATCTCACTGATGCATATAAAAATCCCAAAGCCAGGTGTCAAGGGGATGGTGCCAGAGTCTTTTCAATGATGCCTAGTGACAGGAGCAATGGTCATAAACTAAAATACTAGAAGTTCCACCTCAACATGAGAAAGAACTTTGGATTGAGGGTACCACAACCCTGGAACAGCTGCCCAGTGAGGTCATGAGACATTCCTGTGTCACCTGCTCCAGGTGACCCTGCCTTGTCAGGGGGATTGGACTGGATGATCTCCCAGAGATCCCTTCCAATGCTAACTGATTTTGTGAAGCAGCAGATCTATCACTTCTTTGGAAGGAAAATCACAGTAACTCCAGGCTTCATTTTAGTAACATTTTGTTAACATGTACTGAACATGTGGTTAGGTGGGATTAGCATGAACATAATGACATTTGAAATAGCATTTGAACATAAATGCTGTAATTGTATCAGGGCCACCCATTGTTCTAAAAATTCTTCTGCCCGTTGTTCTAAAAAGTATCTTCATGAGGCTTCTCATCAGAACTTAGTTGCATCTTCATTGCAAACTGGAATGGTATTTTACAGTCTCTCACTACACAGTGTATGTATGGTCTTGCTCCAAATTCAGTCAGATCTTTTCCTAGAGGATTAAAGGGTATATAATTCTTTGTCACTTTCTTAAATGAATCTCTGCATGTTTAACAGTGCTGTTGAATTTACACTGCAAACTTGTTCATGCAAGTACTATGTACCATGCTCCATATTTTCATCAAAAATATTGGCCTTTTACCAAGTTCATCATGCTTTGGTTTTAAACTGGATAAAAAGTTTAGGAGAGCTGAGGGATGGGGACTAATGAATACATAAATAATCTGATCACAAAAGATTCATTCAGAATTAATAAAAAAGGGAATGTTATTCACTCTAGATATGCAATCAAAAACTAATAACTGAAAAATGAGTTTTTAAAAATAATAATAAAAATTATTTTTAAAAAATAATAATTTTATAACAAGGAGCAATTTTCTAGGCACTGTCAGTTGATGGGTGTTTATAGAAATTCAGGAATTTTCCTCTGTAAAACTCAGACTAGAGTAGATGAGAACAGCACAAAATAACTGTTTCTGGCATGGACTTTATCAGCCATTTCTAAACTGGAACTCCTTAATGTGCTTCTCCCAAATCACCTATTTGGGATCTCATTTTGGCTCCTTTCAGCTGAGCCATACAAGGTGGAACATAGGTCCCTAAGACATAGCTGGACCTGCCTGAAATGACAACTCTAATTTCCAGGCTCAGCTGAAAAAACACGAGAATTCCTGTGCTCCCCTTTATTCTTTTTTCTTTTGCCTGTTGCTGTTCTATGGTAAGGGCAATTCACTACAGATTGATGAATTGGTTAAAATTAATGGACATGGATGTTTTGCAGGGCAATACAAATGTAGTGTCACTCTCCGGAAACATGAGTGGCAACAGCTTGCCAAAATGGAAAATACAGAGAGATTGAGGTGTTTGCTACTCAGTGATACTTTCTGTATCATTGACAGGAATGCCTTTAGCACAATGTCTCAGCTGTGAGTACCCATCTTGCCATGGTAGCACAGAGCTTGCAGCCATCACTTGCACTTACCCTGCTCCTCAGACATGTTTTGCAGCTGTCCCGGAGCACTGCTCCTGCCATCACCACCTAAACAGCTGACACTGGAGCTTGGCATCATGTTTGTGGTGACCATGTTGTACCAAGAGGCCGTGTTGTGGCTGCAAACATTACAGGCTACATCAAGAAAACCACCAAATATAATTCTTCCAGATTGCTATATGAAAACTTGGATTTCAACCCCTTATTTCTGAGCTTTTCTTAAGCCCTTCTCACTCACTCTCTACAACTCCCTGAAAGGAGGATGTAGCCAGGTGAAGAAGATCTGACTGCTCTCAGTAACAAGTGACAGGATGAGAGGACATAGACTCGAGTCGTGCAGGGGGAGGTTTAGGTTGGACATTAGCAGGAATTTCTTCACAAAAAGGGTACTTAGACATTGGAATGGGCTAGCCAGGGAGGTGGTGGAATCACTGTCTCTGGGGGTGTTTAGAAAGACTGGATGTAGCACCTAGTGCTGTGGTGTGGTTAACGTGGTGGTGTTCAGTCCTGTGTTAAATTCGATGATCTGAGGTATTTTCCAATCGAATTGATTCTGTGCTTTTTGCTGGCGGCTAAAACTTGAAAAGAGATTCTGGTATCATAGAATCCTGCAATGGTTTGGGTTGGAAGGGACGTTCAAAATCACCTGATTTCACTACCCCCATCCTGCTCGCTATGGGCAGGGACACCTTCCCCTAGACCAGGATGCTCCAAGCCCCCTTCAATCTGGCCTTGAACACTTCCAGTGATGGGGCATCCACAGCTTCTCTGTGCAACCTGCGCCAGGGCCCCAGGCCGCACACCCATCCTCGCAGGGAGGAATTTCTCCCCAGTGTCCCGTCTAAGCCCGCCCTCTGGCAGAGGGAATCTGTTCCCCCTTGTCCTGTCGCCTCCGGTTCTTCAGAGTGCCCTCCCCCAAGATGGCGCCCGGCGCTTCCCCCTTCACCGCGCAGCCGCTGTGGCCCCGACCCGGCCGTGACGCGGCTGCCGCCGCCTCCGACTGTGCTGGGGCCGCCTCCGCAAGGCGCTGCCCGGGGCGGTCGGGGCTGCCGCTGCGCCTCATGGTGCCTTTGCCCGTCCAGGCTGCAAGATGAGGCTGCTGGTTGCTGCACTCTTGCTGGTGGCGCCTCTCGGCGCCGCCTTCTACCTGCCTGGCTTGGCGCCTGTCAGCTTCTGTGAGGAGAACGAGCAGACCGAGAGCTGCAAGGTGAGAACCCGCACGGGAGGGCCCGACGTGGGCCATCCCCTCGCTCTGCCCCACGCGGGGCTCCCACGGCGAGGGGACTCC